TACCCAGTGGTTTAAGGCTCCTCGACCGCGAAAGTTTGTTTGCCTGGGAGATGCATCTGATGGGTGGAGAGTAAAATATGCTTCCAGGGACCGGTTTGCCAGGGGACGTTATTTTTCCACTCTGGGACTAGGATCGATTTGGGGATGGGACGCCTTTTCTGACTGAAGCGATGGAAAAATGTACCAGTGTCCCTCTAGAATGTCTTAAGAGCAGACAGTTTGGCCAGTGAAAGTTGCTGGGGGGGGGGGGTGTGTGAGAGGGAAGTGTGTTCCCTAGGGATGCTGAGGGAGAATCCCAGGGCATGGTGCCAGGGTTAAGAACGAGAGGCATTTTCTACCTGATGCTGTGGTCCCGACTCCCAGATCTGTACAAGCCAGAGTAGAGGATGTCTGTTAGTCCTCAAGTTTTGCGGGCTGCGTTTTCATTCCACTGAGAAATCAACAACCTTGAGTGGAATCCCTTGTCGCGATTGTTTCGTAGGCTTGTTCTGATGGACTCTGTAGGTAGTTCTGGTGCCTTGACTTAAGAGCTGTTCTGGATCTGGCTGATTTTATGTTCTCTTGGGTCCCGAAATGCTCTCATCGGACTACCAGAAGCAGAAAACCAGGAAGTGCCAGACTTGCCCCCTGGGTCAGAGTCTCAGCACCTTTTAGAAGGAGTGTAACCCACTTCCCACTTCCAATTGCACGAAATGCCAGGCTTCAGGGCTCTCCTTGTGTAGAGCTCTGTCCGCAAGGGCTCACCAATCCCTAAGTCCTTCCCAGGACTGCGTTCTCTTATTGATTTACAAGGAGGTGTGCGCAGAGGAATGACTCAAAAGCCATCCTTCAGAAAGGGATGGGAGCAGACAGCCCCGAGAAAGCAGAGGGTAGACAGTTTCCTAACCCCAACCCAAGAGATGCTGAAACAGGGTCACAGAAACAATCAGCTTGTGATGTGTGTGGTGCCGGAGGGTGGCCAGAAACCCCAGGGCATTTAGAGAGTCAGTTGGTCAACCCCAAAATAATTTAAAAATGATTAAGCAAGAATAACTAAACGCACAGGCACAATACTGGAGGTTATGTTCTGTGGTTTCTGTCTACCCCCACAGAGATGAATATCACACTCACTGAGGAAAAAAGGAAAAAAAAAAAAGAACCCTGGTCTGTAAATAGATTAAAAACGGGAATTAAAAAGAACACTGAGTCAGAGCCCTTCAGAGATTGAAAGGGGGAGTAATTGCCTTTCAAAGAGCTATTAGATCTCAATAACAAGTCAGATCTGTTACTTAGTTTTGCAGCACTAGCTGTGTTTACCAACACTAACATGACTTTGGCTGCATCCTGGTGGGTGGTTTTAACCCTTTGTGTTGTTATTCAGGTTACTAGGGAAGAAGTCTGCAGGTTAAGATCCACATGACTTGGTGTAACATTTGTAGAATGCCTCATATATGCATGTCACCACGGGGCAGGTTGTTGTAAATGTTCATAAAAGACAATTAATGGGATTGAGCCCATGGGGAATGTAGAGATCTTTGTATGCACATAATCAGTGGAATTGGGATCTCCGAATGCCTTGTTGACCTCAGTTGAGAGTCAACAGCATGTGGTTTGAAGGGGGTTACTATACTCTAGCAAAGTGATGAAGACTTTTATCAGATAAATGGTGAAGTCGCCTGCAAGCCGGTGCTCCTCCTGTATGAAGGTGGCCAGCAGGAGACATAGAGCATATAATTGATTTTCAGGCTAATAGATTCAGGCAGTGGCCATTTCTGACAATAGCTCTCAGCTCCAGATCCTCCGTACTGTCTACATATCACATCTGTGTGTCTGAAGATGTGAAGGCATTCTGTCCATTTCTCCAGAAGAGCTCCAACTTTTAAATATCCTCCACAGCACAAGTAGACAGCCCAAGTGTTCCTTAAAATAGCAACAAAATATTTAATAGGACCAAAGTGTCAAGCAATTTCAAGTAGAGCAAAGATTAGCTGCAGACAACAAGCTGTAGCCGTTCAGCTGCTGATTTATCTTCAATTTTTTCTCTGTCACATTTCATGTATGCCTAGTTATTACAAACTAATAGCCTCTTCAGTCTGTGAGCAAGATATGCACCTTTCCCATTTATAAGTGCCCAGTTCCTTCTCATTCATTCAGAGTACATCTTGCAGTTTTGTTTTTACTGCATAATTTAAGTGTCCAACGTGAAGTCCTCATTAACTTCTAATACATTTTGTGCTGAAAGAGTATATAGATATAATTGGCCCATTCAGACTGCCAGATGTGTGGATCACTGTATTGTGGAGAACCCCAAAATTGAGATGCTCCGACTGTGATGTTTACAGTAGTGAAAGGTTACTGTATGTAGTAGGAGATAGGAAGATGAAAGGGGGACTTTCTGTGCTTAATTGTTTGTGGTTTCTGTTTTGGTCAACTCCAGTAGTCTATACCCTTTAAGAGGTTTTATCTTTGCCATTTATTTTTGCCATTGAAAATGAACAACCCAAAGGTACTTTAATATATACCATTTGTACAAACATGGTGTTAAGATGCATATGTAGTAGAGTTGCTAGCCTTGATGATTTCTTATGCTTGGTAATTGTGCCTTGGAAAACATCATTTTTCAAAAATAATGAGAATATGGACTATGAGATAGTTTAAGAATTTCTTTGAAACTGAAGGCTTCTTAGATTCTCAGTTTTGCATCTAGAAGGAACAATGGTACTAAGTGACTTCTGGTTTATAATGACCCCCCCCCACCAGCTCCTGTGTTTCTGTACTCAGTGGGAACATATCTTGGGAAATTTGTTCCTGTAGAAAGGCATTCCCTGGCTGAAGCTCAGTATGCCAAGTTTGAATCCATAGTACATTTTTATTTTCCTCCTTTTATGTACATGTTATAAACAAGAAATAAGGGTTTGTAATAGAAGTGCTGGCAGAACTTTATAGCATTTCAAACAGCCCTGCTACTTGGAATGTAAATGTTTGTAGAATCTTTACTGTGCAAGAAGCTGCCTTGCAAGGAGTGAGGAAAAAAAAAAAACTCAACTGATTTTTTAAGTAGGATAAGATAATTCAGAAGGCATGTATATTCTTCATTGAAGACATATTGGTGTTTGGAAAAAATAGATTATGTCTGTCACAGCTATTCCACTGTATTCTCTTAGGTGCTGTTAGAATGAAGATTGTAAATTTTCTATGTTCTGAAACAGCAGAACAATTTCCTCCAGTTTATTTTCTAAGTCACTTGACTTTGATTATCTTTCATCTGTTAAGACATGAGATTTGTGCAATAAACCTGCTTTGATTACATGACTGATAAATGAGCCTGGCGATCTATTATTTTAATAGTGTAAAGAATTTGTAGGACTGTTCCTTCCTTTCAGATATTCCTGCCTGTAGGAACTGAAGCAGCACTGTGCTTCAAATCCTTTGATTTGGACCCTGAACCATTTCTCAAACCTGCCTGCCTTCATCCATCTTCACCTGTATTATTTCTTACCAGATTGTCAACTTATTCCCCAGGACCACTGAATCAGCTT